ATTTAATAAAATAACTTGGATTATTGAGGAAGCACAATCAGGGTTTGACTATATGGCTTATATGGAAATCAAATAAAGGATAAGGTATAAATTTGTCATTTTCATCTAGGAGTACTATGAACTTAAAAGTTTTTTGGGATACAAATTTACTTTAAAAGTTTTTATTCAGAGTACTAAACACTTGAAAGTTTTTTTTAGATGCAATTTTGTCTCAAAAATTTAAACTCAAGGCAATTTTATTTCTTACTGTTAAAAAACTAACGTTGACTTTTAAAATAGCAACATTGACAGTTAATATTTTTTATGATAATGATAGAGGTATATTTAACCAAGTTCTGCTAGATAAGTGTGTATAGCTATTCTGGTAAAAAAAAAAAGAAAAAGATAAGTGTGTATAGCTTGTGACAACATTACCGATTGATTGTTAATAAAACCTGTTCTTTTTTTTTTTTTTTGTCAATTGATGAATTGATACCTAGCTGACAAAACATGTGACATTTCAAAACACGATGCCACATGTCTTAATAGGTGTACAAATTGCTTCACGTTATTAAACTTCAATGTATTAGTCGCTCTTTTATGAATACTTTAGAGACAAAATGTTATTTAACCTTAAATAAATTTAAAGTTAACAATCAATATCAATATTCATTAAATTAGTCAATTAATGACATTGTAATAATTTTGACACTTAAGAAATGATGAATTGACAATATATACTCTAATATATACTTGTCTAGTGCTATTTATAAGGTAGAAAGAAAAGATTTTTTTAGTTCTATTTATAAGTCACTTCATTAAATTTTTAACATAAATGTACTATTTTGTCATTTATTTATTATAGTTTAAGCAGTTATATTTTTTAAAGATGTATATATCAACTAAAAATAAAATTAAAAAATTATTATATTTTAATAGAGAGTTAATACCGTTAAAGGTTTTTATTGACATGTACTCCTCCGGTCCTTATTATAAAACCCAATTTGACTTTTTATTTGGTCCTAATTATAAGACCCAATCTATTTTGTCTCTTATATTTATGCATTTTTTCCAAGATAATCTTTCTAATAATGATAGTTTTAGCCAATATACTTAATTATCAAGGATATTTTAGGAATGACAACACTTATTTATGATAAATAACCAACTTAACTTACTTCCTTAATCTCCTCAAATAAGTCAATTGGGTCTTATAATTAGGACCGGAGGAGTATAATGTTAGAAGTGCCTATTATCAGAGGAGCAGTTTAAGGTGTCCATTGCGTCTCGTGAAATAATTAGAAGGCAAAAATATTTAAATAATAAAAAGTGACAATAATTTTAAAAGAGAAAGTACGTGAACTGTATCTAGTCCTATACGTGCTTTTCGCCTTTTCGTCGCAACCAAATTAGAACCTTTAGGAGAAGAAAATTTCTACTCCTTTCAATTATTGTTCGACGACGTCATTAGAATTTCAGTACAAGGATCTTAAATCTTTAGCCAAAATCTCATTTATTAACCCTAATCTCAAGCTAAGTTAATTAGTAGTAATTGGTAATTAATTACAATGAAGTGATTAAATAAATTGGGTGTGATTTTGGTGCTGAACAATACGGGACACCAGTCTTGGCTCTCTTTCACTTGTCCATCAACAATATATTTATCTATTTATTTTATATCCACATTATAAAAAATTTTAATAAATGAAATTAAAAAAAAAAGATTAAGTAGGAAGAGAGGTGAAAGTTGAATTGGAAATATATATGAAATGGATTAAGCAGAAGAAAAGTAAGATGCACCACATGTAACTAATTTTATGTTGGGTCCAAGTGTTGGAATTTGTTTAATATAGCTGTAATTAACTCAACTAGCCAGCTGGTTTTATCTCAGCTTCAAGGATATATAATTGCTTCACATTATCACAAATCAAAAATTAATTGAGTTAATTATATATAGGTATCGTCAATAACCTATTAAAAATCTATAGGAAGACAACTTATAAGATATACATGAAACCATACTAACATATTACTATATCGGCTTACGTGTGTTTATAAATATTTTTGAACGCTATCTCAAACAGGTTCTATATATATCAGTTTATAAATTGGATAAATTAATCTAAAAAAAATGATAAATATAAATACTTTAAAATAATTTAATTTTGTTAATCTTTTCAAATTAGTCAACTGTATATTAAGCACCTGAGCTAGTATTACTAAATCATAAACAATATGACTTACAGCCAGATTCTATGTGAGCATACATAGCTCATAATCTTATTTTTGGTAAACACGTCGACACTTAAAATAAATGCATAGACCACTTCAAAATATTTGCTGATTTGGGTCATACACATGAAAAAATGTGAAAAAGGAGACTATGAACATAGGATATTCAGATTTTATAATAGGGGATCATGGAAGACTTGGAAGGTTGACTTTAACTACTGAATTCAAGTCTTGAATTTCAAAAGCATCACATTATATCACACATCACATGTGAAGAGACATCTTCATTCATATTTAACATTTGACTTGAAAAATAATAATCTTCTTGGTTTCACATTCATATTTAATATTCTTTAGACCATATTTGCCTTCTTCATATGTGGTCGCAGACAGCTAGATAGCTCTAAAGCATTTTTCCCCCCTCCATTAAGTCAACACCGAATATTTAGATTGTTTCTTCTTCACAGCTATTTGCATTGTCTTAATGATCTTATACTTATCTGACTTCTTATTTATCAACTAGGTTGATAAAGGGATTCCCTAATCATATTTATATTTAATACTTGTTTCGGTTTTAAATATAAAATTCTTTTAACTGAATATTGTATATGATAATACGGAATGTAGTCAAAATCAGTTAATAACCTTAATTTTTTCCAAAAAAAAATTCCTTGGCAATGACCAATAAATAAAGCATCGAACTCTCTAAAATGTCTAATACTCCTCCGGTTCTTAATATAAGACTCATTTAACTAATTTGATTAGATTAAGGAAGTTAGTTAAGTTAGTTAATTATAAAAAATATGACATGTTTTTCCTAAAATACCATAATCATCTTTCTTAATACCTCCTTTTCCTCTTCTACTTAATTATGATTGGGGCAATATCCATAGGGGTAATTTAGAGAAAATTGATAAATATGAGAAATGGGTCTTATATTTAGGACCAAAACTAACTCAACAATTGGGTCTTATATTAAGGACCAGAAGAGTATTTATTAAAAAAAAAGGTGAAAAATGATTCCATATTTTGGATGGAGAAGTTGTATTTATGGATAATGTTGTGTGTGAATTTTCCAAGCACGAGACCATGACCTTCTCCAAACCGCTTTAATTTAGCCAGACCAAGCCGCCATAGGACCGACCTTTGAAGCTTGAGGCCCACGATTGAACTGCAGGGTTTCGCTCGTCAAAAAGATCCAGACTACAATTTAATTTTCTGTTTTTTTCCCCCCATATTCAGGTCCCCCATCCCACCAAACAAAAAGTTGATATTTTGACTTCATTTTGCACTCTTTTTTTTTTTGGGGTTTAGGCTAGAATATCTATTATTGGTAATAGTGACTAATCCTCTCACACTGTATACTTCCCGAAATGACTTTAGTATGGGTCACAAGACTCTCCATACACACCTTATTTTTTTCCAAAAAAAAAAAATTTTGGGCAATGACTAATAAATAAAGCATCAAACTCTGTAAAATGTCTAATATTTATTAAAAAAGGTGAAAAATGATTCTACACTTACGATGGAGGAGTTGTATTTATCGATAACGTAGCGTGTGAATTTTCCAAGCACGAGACCATGGCCTTCTCCACCACAGGACCAACCTTTCAAGCTTGAGGCCCACGATTGAACTGCCAGGCTTCGCTCGTCAAAAAGATTCAGACTACAATTTAATATTCTATTTTTTTTTCCAAATTCAGGTCCCCCCTCCCCACAAAACAAGAAGTTGCTATTTTGACTTCATTTTTTGTTGAGGCAAGGAAATCTATTGTCATTAGCAGTGACTAATCCTCTCACACAGTATACTTTTCAAAGCTGCTCTAGTACTGATTATGAAACTCTCTCCATACACATTGTCAGGAATCAAACCCCTGACTAGATGCTTAAATGATCCAATTAAATGCTAACTGTGTTAGGCCTTGTGGTTTCATTTTACACTTTACTTCAAAACAATAAACTTTAGTTGTTCTAACCAAATCAATCCATCGATAAATTTGCCAGCCAAAAGTCAAATAAAGAAATATGATTGTGTTAGACTATGGACAATCAACAAAAAATTTTTGTCGAATATTCTATGACATTCTCTTTTGGCTAACAATATATTTAAATATTTAATTATTGATAGTATATAATAGCGTCGAGCTATTCACATAGCTATTTTTACCTAATGAGATAAAGACTTATTATTTTTGTTGTTGTGTGTACAATTGTTAACCAATCACCCTACTTAGAGGTCATGAATTAAATTTTTAATTTGAATAACATAAATAATGAACAATCTAATAAGTCATCACTTAGCATTAAAAGATACATCCTTGGATGAATGAAGAAGACAATACTACAAAATATCATGTGTATACTAGCAAGAAATACTGGATTTTAAAGAAGAGTTTTAAAAGAAGTTCCTCCAAATTCTAATAAGTTGTAATGGAAGATACTCAATATCTTCTTGCAAGGTCTCAACATATAAAAATAGAATATTTGTCATAAAACAGTAAAGTGGATTAGGCTATGTAGAATTCTCAAATTGATTTACTTCAACTCATTTTTTAGTACAATGTAGTTGCCATTTTGTCAAAAAAGAAGAAGAAGAAGAAGAAGAAGAGATAATTCTAATTGTTTTAAACTGATCTTCTCCTTTACAAGCTCATTTTTTAGGACGGATTGCTCAAACTGGCTTTTAATCCATTGTTCAGTATAGAAAGGGATATGGTTATTCTTACAAGAAACTAACGGGAATAATAACAAGACTAAGAGGATAAAAGGTAGATGAATAGAACATGAAATGGTAAGCAACTTAAAATGTAATTTTGCATTTATCTTTGAGCTCAAGCAACCCAAAACTCAAAGGATATAATTATTCCAATCCGGAGATTCCCTTGGGTTACAATTTTGGTCAAATGGAAAAAAATCCCATAAAAATCACTTGTAGTGCCTAAAATCTCTTCTAATGCAGATTAAAATCTTACCAAAGAGTAAACAGGAAGAGAAGTTGGGGGGGAAAAAAAAAAGAAAGAACCCAAGTTTTGAAAAATTTACATAGAAGCAACCAAGATAAGAAGGGGTACATAAATAAGTCCCCACACTGGAACTTCAGGCTAGTTAGTTAGCAGCCAAAGATCGAGGAGAGCTTGTATCCGATTCTTTTTCAAGATGAACTTCACATTTTGTAGTTTTTGCCCTTTGCTGCTTTTGGCATTGTCCGACATCTACAGAAGGGGGGAAAATGAAAAAACCACATGTAACGGATTTGTCAATATCTAAACTCATGGGTTATGATCTGAATTACATTTCAGTAAAGGAATCCCAAATATGAGGGCACAAATTTTTCCGGGACATCTTTAATTTAAACTAGTTGAACTAATCAGTCACAGGGCCCTTGTATGTTTCAGGCCGAGGAGTGACCTATCAGGACTTCCTTTTTAAAAAAAAATAAAAACAGCTATCAGGACTTCTTCAGTTTTCAAGATTTAGACTTCATTAGACATATTTTCCTCTCCATTTCATAAAGTTTGAAGAATGAGATGTACTATGCAAACCCCTTCCAAATTTTCGTTAGCCTCGGTAGGAATTGTGTTCTAACTTTGGCAAGTTCAAGCTGCTTTCGCCTTTAAAACCATAGCTAATTTTTAAACTCCAACACGATCAGTTGTTACAGTTTGAATTACAGATTGAGCAGTCTGAAAAGCAAGCTATCACTTAATTTTAGCAGAAAGTGACGTTTTTGGATGCACGAAGAACCTATCAGCAATACACTTTGACAGACTGATATCCAAATAAAGTGATAAATTCAGCCATGGTTTCCCTGAATCTTCAAGAATTTGAAGTCACTGACTCAGATAGAAGAACAGCAGAGCTAGCGGGTCATGTTAAAATCAGTCAAAGCAGACAAAGCATCTAATCCCTAAGTCATCTTGCCGGTGGGTCGTGTGTTTTTATCATTTGAAACCCAGCAGTAGACTCATCTGAGTCTGAATCTGCTTCAAGAATCGGGAAGGAAAAAGTGGAGAAAGCTGAGTCAAAGGCTGCTTATTGAATTGATTCACTTAGATGGGAAGAAATCCATGGAACGTAATTTTTTTGGTACTTCAGTAGCACAGTTCATCTCTCCTTGAAAGTTAATTTAAGGCAAGCTCCCATGGGTCAGGCGAGGTATCAAAAAGGTAAAGGTCCCATTCTTGCTCAAGTTCATCTCAATAGATACCGAAAGTAGACAATACTCCAGATACGACGAAAAAGAAAATGACTATACCCCATGGAAAAGGCTCTTTACCATTCTGTATAAATGGGTTATTCTATTTGTACAGATATGGTGGAGGGGCACTTTCAATCCTTGTTTGTCTATTAGTTTTCAAATCTTGTCTTTATCGCGGGGTAGAGCAGCTTGATAGCTCGCAAGGCTCATACTTGGTGTCCATCATTATTCAAGTTGAGAGAGGTGGTCTAGTTGCTATTTACTTTTCACCATCAAGGCGATATAGGTATATTCTTTAAAGAAAACAAAAGGTAAATAACAAGATCAGGAGGATTAAATGGCAGGTAGCTGATAAATGAATTTGAGAACGACTACAACGTATTATATTTGACCTCAAGCAACAAAAAACTCAATCGATCTAAGTATTCCAACTAGAAGATTCCCTCGTGTTACAATTTTGGTCAAATAAAAAAATAGTTGCCCGTAAAAATCTCTGCTGAGTTTGTCATCCCCAAAACCTCTGCAAATGCGGATTAAAATCTGACAACAGAATTAATAGGATGACGAGCAAGAAAGACCCAAGTTTTAAAAGACATTACAGAGTATAAAAAGACTGCACCAAGATGGAAGCAATCAAGAATATTTTCCCTGGAATAAAGGTACAAAAGTAAAACTCCATGCAAGAGAACTCCAGTCTAGTTACCAGCATCCAAAGATAGAGGAGAGCTTTTACCTGATTCCTCTTCAAGAAGGGCTGATGTGCAAGAAAGAAGGGAAGCTAGCTCATTTTCTGATGCCATTCCAAAGCCTTGCCATCTTATTCTACCAAATTTATCAAGTAGAAAGATGTACCTATGAAAATAACATGTTAAAAATTTACTGAACAAATTTACTGACTAGCCATAGACTGGATAAGTAAAGAAAAATTCTATACCCTGTAAGGAGATTCAGTATCTTCAGTTCTTTTCTGAAGTAATAATGATCACCAAATGAGTACACTGTCTTCTTCTGAAGTGTATCCTTGCTTTCATCACGATTAGATTTCCTTATATACCAAAGAAGCAAACGCTTGATAGGATTTCGGCTTAAGAGCCAAGAGTCTATAAATGACACCTGTTGGACAACATGAATATTTCGTTGCAAATTTGGCAGGTATCATTCATAATATGGAAGCAGAAAAAACTTGAGTGTATTATCTCAATACGATAATCTGTAAGATAAACGCCTAGATTAAATTGATCAATTTGCTCCATAGATTAAATTGACAGACTTGCTTGCACCATAATTTAACATCCTGAGAAAGAGATAACCAGGGCCAGTCCTCACAAATATAAACACGAAATATTTTCCTGAGATGTAATATACTCACAAAAAATGCAACAACACAGTCATAATCTAATCTTCATGTTATAATAAGCACAACTGGAGAGCTAGGGATTGGGAAGTGATAAACCTGCTCCTTTTAACAAGCCAAACTACACTATCTGGTAGCGGTTTTTGTGTGACCACAAACATGGTAGCTTGTATGAAAATATCTAAAAACAAATTTGTGTGTACAAGTCCACTTCCTCAGTAGCATTCCTTGCCCTCGCAGAAGTACCTTGACAAGCGCATTAAGAAAAATCTAAAACACCACCCAGTATCACTTATTTACAGAATTTCAGATACAAGTATCTGAGCAGTAAGTACTATAGGCCATCATCATAGTACTTAAAAGAGTAAGAGATTAGCTGATGCTATAGTTATCTCTGGTTCCTCAATATGATTCCATAACTCAACATGAGAGCATTATCTAAGTGAGGGTGATTATAGCCGCATGCCTTAAGGAAGAGCCTCTAAAAAGCAATGGGAAAAAATGCAAAGAAAGAAAAACATTTAGAAACATACCTCACGGACATGGACATTTTCTGATTTACTAAATGCTTCAATAAATGGCAAGCTCCAAGAATTGATCATTGCCTATCAAGGATAAAGTACAGATTTTTATAGTGACAACAGCAGACCAAATAGCATTTGAAGAAAAAATGTAACGAAAAATACATAGAATATTTATGCACGTAGCCTCCTTTGCATGGTTCCATTACAAAGGTTGAAAAGTTACTCTTCCCTTCCTTATCAATAGTTGAAATTCTACACGGAATGATTGCGGCATTAAGGCTGGATTTCAAAATTAGTAGATGGGGTGCGCCACATGAATCACACTATGCAAATGTGCTCTATCAACAACCCACTCTTTAGATATGCCATTAACTAAAAGGTCCCTTTTCACAACTTCTTCGAGTATTCCTTTTGGTCTTCCTCTACCTTTCTTCACAGAACTCAACACCATTTGTTCAACTCTCCTCACTGATGCCTCTTTCAATTGTCTTTGTGCATATCCAAACCACCTTAAATGATTTTAACCAACTTCTCCTCAACAGATGTCACTCCAACTTTTTCACGTATATAATCATAATGGATATTATCTTTTCTCATATAATCAAACATCCATCTTAACATCCTCATCTCTACTCCAATTTTTTGTTTGTTTTAATGTCTCTTTAATCCTCAGCATTCACTACCATAGAGTATTGCCTCTCTTAAAGAAGTATGATGAAACTAAGCCTAGCAAGCACCCAAAAAAAAAAAAAAAAAAGGCTCTCCATTTCACATCTCACTCTCTACCATTTACTCCTTCTTCTCTTATTATTCACCCTCAAATTTCCCTCAAGATACTTATACCCCCTTCATACCAATTAATGGGCAGCAATAGCAACGTGCCTTGTAAAACTTAAATTGAGTAGTAAAAATATATGAAATACTATCATATATTTTAACCATTTTAGATACACAATGTTAGCGATTGGATAAATTTTGATGGGCACACAGTGCAATTTTGTGAAGAACAAGAGCAACATCTTTACAAAACATTATCATCACTCACTACCTGAGAGCTTGCTCGAAATGAAAGACAAAGCAAAGATGCCTTGGGGACTGTTGCTTGGTCAGCATCAACAACATTTTCACATTGACGAAAGGGAAGCTTTGCTGCCCTACCGTCTCTCTCAATCACTTCCAGATCAGGAAACTTCACAGCTACCATTGCAGGAATGATCACTTTATTTGCTATAGCAATCTGCAAAAATATCACTGATAGATCTCTCGTGCATCCAAAGATTTAACTACAGTAGAAAGCAAGCAATAACTTGGCTTTTTCAATAAGCAATTTGGGGTTCAATTAGCAGAAAATTCAAAACATGAAGGCAGCTTTAACTGATCAAATTTAGAACAGAATTCTAATAGAAGTTAGATAATTCGAGGGAGAAAAATAGAGATGAGTTTGAAGCATTTAACTAGTTTATAATGAAGGATATCTTTATTTATCGAGATTAATTCTTCCTTATCACACTCTATACACAATTTAAGATGTTCAACAAAGAATTGTCAGTCATTAACAGGTAGAGTATAATTTCGAATAAAGCTAAGACAACCCAATCAGATCACTGCATAATTTAATATACCAATACCTTGCCACCGTGCTTTTTAAGCTCAGCCATATCAGCAAAGTATCCCCTACTCATCTCATCTGCACTGCCCAAAGTCCCATCAACAACATCATTGACCATGCTTCAACAAAAAGATCAGCGTAAAGTTTCCATCAATTCCCGCAAAGAAAAACAATGAACTTACATTCGAGCACGCTCCTTCTCGATGGCTGCCTTGCTCGCCAACTACAACCAAATTCGATTTTCACAAACTTAAGCTTAGCTAAAAAGAACTGAAGTTTAATTATGTGTGGATAATTAATAACACAAAGAAATTCCTCTCCTTCTTTTGTTTAAAGGGTATTTTTCCCGAATTTCCTTGATTAATCAAAAAGTAAATCAAGCGCAAAAACAAAAACAAAAACGGTACCTGATAGATATCGAGGAAACGATTAGAAGCCATCCGAGCCAAATGCTGCGGAGGAAGTAGGTGGAGCTTGTCCAGTTGACTCGCGTGTGGGGAGACAACCATCGAAGCCCTGATCAATGAAGATTGGGTTATGAGTCGCCTCATCTTCAACCCCAACATTGTTTGTGTTGTGTTCTTTGGGAGTCGTCTTCTCTCACTCTCCTCTTCGCTCCCACAGCATCGAACGCATTGTCTTATGACAGAAAACGGCAGTGCTCTATGCTGATCTCCAGCAACTCCGAATTCCGAAACACAGTTTTTTCTAATAAAAAATATTTATAAAATAAAAATTATGCTCCTTTACAAATATTTTTTTAAGGTAAACCTGTTTTAATCCAAAATCATTTTCATATGGACAAGTCCTATAATCATTTTAAGAATTTTTAATCCACATGTTCAACACTGTTTTAACCTTGAAGCTTCACCAACTTTAGTTCAGATCGAGTGACTTCTGAAACATTGGATTGACATTGTTCCTTCGTATGCTAAAGGACAATACTAATTGCTAAGTGCAGAATTCCTTTAAATCAATTATTGTAGCTTAAAAAGTTAAAACTAATGTTCTGCTAATTGCCTGTCCTGTTTTTCGAAGTTGTATTTACTGTACCGTAGACTTTCTATAATGCATTTTTCAATTGTCGGGGTTTATGACGAAAAGGAACAATCCAATTTGATAAATAAATTATATAGTTGGTATTAGTTTTTTTAGAAAGAGTTTTTTTTTTTCTATACACAAATATTTTTTTTATTAGAGTCGAGTGGTAGATGCGAGCATTTCTTTTTTTTAAAAAAAATTCAACATTAATTTATCACGTTATAAAAAATTAGTTTTTTTTATTAGTTTTATATTAATCTTCACAATGCTTGTTGGAAGAATAGCATCAATGTGACACCAGAGAGTTTCGTTTTCTCTTTTCTTTTTGTATGCAGATAACGGAGAGTGGATATGGAACTTTTTCCTGTAAATATCTCACTCAGCCTCTCTGTTTTTTTCTCCTTGTAGCAGAGGGGGCTTTGAGCCCAAAAGCAAACCAAACGAAATCAAGCAAAAACAAAAAAAGTAACGCCCGCCATTCGAGCTCCAGGCCCAAACCTCTCTCCCCCCCCCCCCAATCTTTTAAGAATCTTATATCTACCTTTAAATAACAAATGAATGGTTCAGATTTGATATTTTAATAAATTGTTAAAATATTTTTTAAAAATAAAATTTAAAATTTAAAATATTGAAAAAATTAATTTTTTGGTGTTCAATTTTGACTCACTTATAGCTTAGTTCCTCAAGTATGACTCAGTGCAATTTAGCCTCTCTATTTTTTATTTGTTTAAAATTCAGTCCTTATATTTTTAACTTTTTTTTAAAATAATCCTTAAGCACCCGACTCATAAGTCAATCATTCTATGTGGGTGCCAAGTCTGACCCATGTGGGATATATATACACATATATAATTGAAAAAAAAAATTCAATAAAGAGCAAATGCAATAAAAAAGAAAAAGTTTGCAAAGACCAAACCCAACTTGCAGCGGAGAAGGATCTGTAAGGAGCAAGCAGTAGGCTGCAAAGATATTGGTTTGTGTTGCAGAGAAGGACGTGTTGAAGGAGAGAGGTTGGTCCTATGAGGAAGTGGTGGAGAAGAGTGAGCGGAATGGCGATTGAGGGATTGAGTCACACCGAATTATATTTAAAAAATTAACTTATAAGTGAGTTAAAAGTTGATGACTAAAATATTTATGGCTAATATCATTGTTAATTTTTACAATTTGATTTAAATTTAATTTTAGTTTTTATAGTTTCAAAGTTATTGCCATGGTTTTTATAATTTCATAAGGATTTGATTGATTTTAAATTTAAAACCAAAAAACTTATTAAAAGTATAGGGATCATCTACTAAACTTAGACAAAAAAAATTATGAAACTATAGGGATCAAAATCAACTACTTAGCAACTCACAAGTTCTCAATAGCTATTTACAATACAAAACTTTTGCAACAAAATTGTACTCTTCAATAAATTTCTTTATTCAATCAAAAAATAGTTTTAGAAATTAACAAGATTAATTTAGTAATTGAGAACAAAAATTTTACAATACAGTTACTGTCGACGATGTTGACCAAAGCTTTTGTGACGACTTTATTGCAAAAGTTTTGTTATGAATAGTTAATTATAGGACTTGTGAATTGCTAAATTGAATTTATTAATTTTTAAGCATGTTTTGCTGTAGGAATTAACAAGCAATTTAGAAATTCATAGACTCTAGCCATACCATTGAAGCTTTGATCGCTAACAAGGGTGGCGGGCTGGCAGCCAATCACTAGTAAAAGTGAGTTGGTTGAATTTGTCAACATTCACAAATCCCAAATTGAATCCAGGACTCAATTAGGGATTTGTTGAATTTGCCAACCTAATTTAGGATTTCCCTATTTCAAGTAGTTTTAAATGGGATTTTCCCTTTAAATACTAATCTTGTTGGTCCCACTAACATCAATATGAGAACGAAAAGGTGATGTTGTTGCGATTTCCGAATTTTAATTTAAAGGTGACATCATGAACTTGAGATGATTAGTATTCTTGGTAAAATATATGAAGAATAAAAAGGCAAAGCTTTAATGTTTTGGTTTTCTTACCATATATATGAGCAAATCTTTGTTCCTGGTCCTGCATCGAATCCGTTGTTTATAAGCTTGGTTAAATATTCTGATGTTAAACTGTTGCGTAATGCTAGCATGGTCCCTCGGAAACTTGCTTGTTATTTTGAAGATATTTGGGCCATGCTGCGTATGTTTCCTACTTGTAACTCTGTGGTTTAATAGTTATGTGCGAGATTACTTATGTCTCTTTCGTTAAAACACATAATTAAACTAGGTTCCAATTAATTTGTAGTTTAGTATCAACCGAAATCATTATTTCTAAGGAGTAAGTTATGAGTTTCTTTAGGTAAAAATTTAGGTGATGGAAAATGTAATAAAATGGACCTAAACTAAACTAAAATGCAAAATTCTAATTCTAAATGCAAGATGCAAATGTCCTAAAATTTGTATAAAAATTAAATTAAACTAAATGAAAGCAAATACAATTTTTGGGAGGTTTTAAAAAAAAAATTAAAATGATAAGTAAACAAAATTAACTAGAGAGCAAAAAAAATTGACAAGTAAAAGTGAGAAGTTTCTCTTTCATACGGAATTAACTTTCATAACCTAAATCAATTAATTAGACCAAAAGGAAGTGAAAAGAAAGTGAAATTAATAGGTTTAATCCCCTACCTGAAACAAAGAGAACCCTCAATTTTAAAAACCCTTAAACCATTAGAAAACTCATAACAATATAAGATTGGTTAATTAAACTCATTAAAACCAATAACAAATGATTTAAATTAATTCTGAAAATTATGCTTATAATTATCCAATCAAACAGTTAGATAATTTACTAACTCAATTAAAGAATCAAGGGGCGAGATGCATTGGGATTACGGGGGATCCCCTTACATGCAATCAAACCAAACGGCTTACCAATTGCAATTCAAACCACATTGATAATTAAATCGATGATGAAAACTCAATTGTAAATTTAATTAACAATGCAAAGGTTCATAAACATAAATTCCAGCAAGTATTTCAGCGCAAATATAATCCACATATCAATCTAATCCAAGAATAAAAATGATAATATAAAACTAATTGTCTCACAAAAACAAAACTCAAAATCATTTAAAACTAAATAATCTCAAGTCCTTGAACTAAAAAAATAAATAGAATATCACTCCATTGTGATTTTCAAGTGCTAGCCCAAAGCTCCAACTTCCTTCATGCTCCTCCAAAATTGTCTCATAAGCAAGCTCAAGCTCCCATGGATGGCGTGAAACTCATGAAATAATGGAGGATGGCAATAAGTGAATAAACGGAATGAAAATTGATGAGTGGAGAGGGAGGTGGCCACCCTTTCTCATGAGAGAATGCTTCTTTTTATAGGAGCACGAAGGGCTTTTAGGTATAAGAATTAAACTCATTTAAACTTAGCCATTGGATTGTGCTTGAACTCTACGAAATAATTTTGTACCATTGGATTTTCTCTTTTGCTCTTTCTCGACCTACAAGAGTTTAAGTGCATCCATTAATATAGATTATATTCAAATATTATGTAATTTTATACCAAAATTAAAGATTAGATATGCACAAAAAATAAGGCAGGGAGTTGAAAAACTTTCCAAAAATCAACTTTCCAGAAATATGAGAATTGACTTCAAAGAAATAGAAAGTATTAATTTCAAGCCAAAAAATAAGAAATCACAAAATATTCATATTTTCAATCCAAAATCTCATTTTTATGAAAAATAAAAAAAAATCAATCAATTAACCCAATAATACATAAAAATCCATTTAAGCTCAAAATTATTATTTAAATCCTAGATTAGTGTGGGATAAAACATATAAAAATTTAGCTCTATCAATTACCCTTTCATAAAAAAAATATAAGGAATTAAAATTTTCAAATCCTTATATACGCCCTCCAGATATAAGAGAAATTTTTTTAGGAAGGATATAAGAGTAATTCTTTATATATATATATATATATATATATATATATATCAAATCTTAGAAGATCACGCGTATCCGGAAAAAAAAACAGAGAGATCACATCTTGATACTAATTAGGATTTGGATTCCTTCAAATCGATGCTAATCTTCTATCAATTAACAAAAAATAATTAAATTAAATTAAAATTTATATATAAAAATTTAAAAGTAGTACACATATTTATGTGTGATTGAAAAAATTAACATAATGAGATATCATGTTAGAATTTGAAGGATAAAAAGTTAAGAAAAATAAGGGGGTTAGAATATTATTAATCCTTGAATAAGAAAAGGACAAACAAGCCTTTATAAAGGAAAATCACAAGCTAGTAAATTAACTCTAAAATCTTATCTAATTCAATTTAATCCTAATATTTCATATTTATTTTTCTAAGATATGATAATATAATATTCAAATATAATCCGAGATAATATTCTAATATAATTCTAGATAACAGAATGATGAATAAAATATAATAAATGACTAATAAAACATAATATTAATTACTAGCTCTCGTCCTTAATATGCAAGCTAGTTTTACTTTCAATTTGGTTCTTGTGATAGTTGCATATGTTAAATGTTCCATTAAATGGTAGTTTTAGCTAATACATATGATTAGCAAGGGTATTTTAGAAAAGATACCACCTATTTATTACAAATAATAACTTAACAAACTTTTTT